GCCAGGAGCCTGGCCGTCGCCTTGTGTCTGCGCTCTACGCTGGGCGGCTACCTCGTCACATCGGCGCTGCTGCTCAAGTGCACAGGGCTGCTGCACCGGCCACATCTCCCACCGCGGCAACAAAGACCACCTTTATGACGGCAGCAGAAGTCTCTGCGGGTTTTATACATCCGCAGGTAATTTAATTTTTTTTTTTTTTTAAACACAATAGAAAAACTGCAGGTAATACACGAGTGTGTTATACATGGACGCGGGTTATATTAGCTAATTTACGATAGTCGACTACCCGATAAGCATATGCTTATTGGGTAGTCAAGTAGTCACCTGACTAGCTGCTCTCTTCCCTCCCCCTCCCCCCACTGTCTAGCAGAGAGGCACCAAGGTGTGGAAGGGGAGTAGGAGCTGGTGCTGGAGGCAGCTGGCTTAAAAGCCAATTTCCCCCCAGCACCATCTCCGTGGGGCACAGGGGAGGCAGAGGCTCAAAAGTGGGGGTGGGAGAGAGAGACCAAGCGCAAGCTGGGAATCAGCTGTCCCTAGCAGCTCTTAATACATTTAAAAGGCAGAGCAGCAGGGGGGTTAGCTCCCAGGGCCAGGAGCTAACCCTGCTGCGGCTGTGCAGTTCCCCCCCTTATCGACTAGTCGATTAGCTGATTCCATGCAATTGAACACCCCTAGTCAGCACAGTAAGAACAAAGCCCTGGTTCTGTTAAACTACAAGTGCACTAATCAGGCTGTTACTCTGCTGGATTTTTTAAGCTTTTGATATCCCTGAGCCTTGGTCCACCAGAAAAAATGAGTGTTCCACATTGCTCTGACATACCGCACTCAGCCAAGCGAGGTGTTGCGGGACGATGATTAACAAGTCAAAGCTTTTACATGTTAGGGCCAGGAGAGACCATCACGGTCCTCTAGTCTGAACAGCTTAACACAAGCGCTGGGGTTTTACTAAAAGTGATTGCTGCAGCCAACCTGTAACGTGGATTGAACCAGAGAATTCTTCTCCTGGTTTGCAGCCCGGCAGAGAGTTTTGGTAAAAGAAAGAAATCCCTGTGGCCAGCAGTACCTCTTCCAGAGACACTATCTGGCCACGTAAGCTGTTGTGTATTAAAAAGGAAAACAACAACGTTCCCAAAACTGCAACAGGACGATGCACGTGTGAGTTTATATTCTCTACGCCTGCACCTTCCTTAGGAAGCCTCTCCCCACAGACATTTGAAGAAGCCATTTTGGCCCTCTTACCCAGTAGGGGAAAGACAAAAGCCACTCAAGCTTTGCGTTGTACCCTTCTGCCTTGTTTCAAAGCCAATCTGCTCCAGTCCCAAAGGGGGGGCCACTGCAGACAGAGCCAGCCCCATGGCCTGGGGGCTATTCCAGCGCGGCTCCCGCTGTAGTTGGTTAAACGTTAGGCCACACTAATGTTTAACCAGTTAACGGATTACCTGGGATTTTACACCCTGATGGACGTGCCAGCACTGACTCAGCGTATGGTTGTGATGGCGCAGGGGGCAACTGGAGCCAGACAAGCACACAGGCGCCGAGGGCCTTAGATAGGGTTGCATTCACGGGCTAGCTGGAGCCACTGTCCCTGCCATCGCTATGGTACTGCTTTTTGGGGTGCACTAGCTCCATCAGAGCTGGCAGGCGGAATGGCTCCCTGAGCTGGGAATGGCAACTTCTAGCTCGGGGTCGGCCATTTATGGCTCGCGAGGGAACCAGATATGGCTGCCGGAGCTGAAGCCGGGTTGTGGTATGGCTGCTCTGGGCCTGGAGCAGCCACAGGGCAGCCCGGCTTCCGTTTCTGGCACCATGCGGCCCTGGCCCAAGCTTCAGCAACCACCCACAGGACATGCAAGGAGAAGACCTTGATCCCCCAAACCCTAGGACATGCTGGGGGAGGGGAGCTACAAATGAATAGCAGCCTGGCAGCCTCCCCACCTCCAAGAGATGCTGGGAACCACAGCCCAGCATCCCCTTGCCCCAGGACACACCGGGGGGAGGGCCAGAAACCACTGCCCCCAAGAGGAGATGCCATAGGCAGGAAACCGCCGTTCACCTGCTCCCCCCAGAGATGCTGGGAGGTTGGGGAGAGGGGGTGTCCAGAAATTGTGCCTTTCCCCGAGAGCAACACCATCACTGCCACCAAAACCACAGGTAGCCCTGTTAAGTACCCCCAGGTCCCTGCCATGAGTCCTCTGCCCTTAACCCTTCACTCCCTGCTCTGATTCCTACACCACTCTACACTAAGCCCCACCATGTACCCAGCCCCCTACCCTGTATCCCCCACCTCCTGCCTTCAGCCCCCTCCTGTCACTCCAGCACCCACATTCCCTGCCCTGACTCCTGCACCCCCACCCCGTCCTGAGCATGCCCACACATCCAACGCCTTGCCCTAAGTACCCCCCCCCGCCCCACACACACACACACCCTGCATCCTTATACTGCTCTTTGTGGACCACTTGTTCTGAATTTTGATGGAGCTTGGCTCCTTGGTTTGAAAAGGTGGCCGACCCTCGGTCTAGCTGCTCTGTCTACGTTGCAATTCTGGAGCTTTGCGCTTGGTTGCGCCTAACGGAGCCGAGTCCCGCGGTGCCAGAGAACGTTCTGTAGGGGCCAGGTTCTCTGAGCCGCTCCACAGCTCTAGACCGCACCAAAGGGAGGGGCCAGCCTTTGAAGAACATGCTGGCCCAGCAGACACCGAGCACTTCTGAAAGCCTCTCCCCAGGCGCCACAATGGAACCTGCTGGCTGCCAAGCATCCCCTACACAAGCATTTACACTTCCAGCGTCTGCGCAAATCCAGGCTGAACGAACAAGCCTAGTTCCCCCGCCCAAGGCCCCAGCGTAGACTCCAGGATGCCAGGCCACAGTAAAAGCAGAAAAGCAGGCCAAGAGACAAGCTGCAAGATACCATTGGCCAGGTGGCTATTTCCTCCGTGTTGAAAAATGTCACTTAAAGTCCTTTTCATTTTTTCATAGCAGGCAAAATACATCGCGTGGGCAGGGCCGGCCCCCAGCATGGTGACGTTGATTCCTCGGAGAGGTCTCCAGAAGCCTTCCGTGTGAATAATTTTCTTCAGGGCCTCATACACGCTCCTGTACTGGGCTTTGGGATCCGGCTGCAAACTCTGCATTCGGGTCTGTAAGAGGAGGAAGAGAGCTTTAATTAGCGGCCTTCACAAGGGGCGCGCCGATCGTTCTCGCAGGCCCGGCCCTGGTGAGACGGTTTTGTTCTGCGGTGCATGGACGGCTCCAGACGGTGCCCGATTAATCCTTTGAGGGAAGCGGTGAACAGAATGCCCCTCAGTAAGGACCAAAGAGACGCCCAGAGTTCTATGGGAGCTGGGAAGCCCAGTTTAGAAACTCACAAGGCTCCCAATCCAGTTCGTGTTCCACAATCCAGCACTGACATGGAACTGTGCCAGACAACGCCAGGCTGCCTTCGCTTATACCAACCTCCAGACAAGGACGTCTGTGCTACGTGATTAGCAGGCACAACTTGTTAAAGGACAGAAATCCCCAAAGGTAACAGAATCCTAGGGTTGGCAGAAACCTCAGGAGTCACAGAGTGCAACTCCGGCTCAAAGCAGGACCAACCCCAACTAAACCCTCTCTCAAGCCAGCACTTAACCGATGGGGATGGAGATAGATGCCTAGCTTCCCCCAGGGACGTATAAGTATAACTGGTTAACTGATAAGCTCAGGCTTATCGGTTACCGTTCATGGTTACACGCAGGCTCCTGCCCCCGCTGCTGGAGAGCCGGCTTCCACCCTGCATGGCGAGTGCATGGAACTGCCAAGATTTTCAGCGGTTACACAGTTACCCAATTATCCGCTTTTTAACACCCTTAACCTCCACTTTTCCTTCCCTGCATGGTAGCTGTAACTCAAGCAGGCAGCAGGTACTCTCTGATGAAGGGCCCCCAAGAAACTCTGCATTGCACGCCCAGGCTGCAGACATTCCAGCCGCGTGCCGGCAGGGGCTGCTGCAGCCTGCGCCCACGGGGCTCTTTCACAAGTGCACCTCCTTTGGTGCTGCGCCCAGGAACCAGTCTCTTCCAAAGTTACATGGACATGGAACCTACCCAGGCTATTAGGCCTGGCAGACTCGGCTGCCTCACATCCAGGACTCCATAGTGACGGGGCCAAGCGCTGAACACGTGCGTGGCATGACCACACGGAGGCGCAGTGGTTGTACATTCAAAGCATGAACGTACAAACGGGGTGGCTCAGTTTGGAGCATGCCCGTTTGCCAACTTCCTCACTAACGGAATCGGGGTTGAGCAAGGCATGAAGGACAGAGGCTTTAATTGACTTTTCTGAGAACCCTTCCATTTCCCCATTCATCCCTCAGTCTGGTTCTTAGTGATTGTTTGGTCATTTCCCGACAGAGGCAGTTTACCAAGGCAATTAAAAGCGATCTAGAGCGTCACATGGAACAGAAGTTACAGAAAAGTCATTTACAACAGGGGGGAGAGGATGGGGAGAAGAGAGAATAGTGAAAGCTTGCAGTTTCAGAGAGGTGGCTGTGTTAGTCGGTTTCAGCAAAAACAAGTCCTGTGTCACTTTAAAGACTAACAAGTTTATTAGGGCACTTTACGGGCTGCAATTCACTTTGTCAGATGCGTGAAATGAAAGAATCAGATTGCAGAGATTTATATACAGACAGAGGGGGAAGTGTTACAAGAGTGCTAATAAAGTTCACACAATCAAAGTGCATTTGGCCCACTTCCAACAGCAATAAAAAGGTGAGCATGCCTTAAGGAAAAAGGTCCTTATTGTAATAAACTTGCCATTCTCAATTCCTCTTCTGACCCACTCTGATGGTATCAAGTTTGCATATGAATTGCCACTCAGCATTTCCTGGCTGCAGAGTTTGTGCAATCGAGTCGAGTCTGTGTTAACATGCTCTATTGCCTGCTTACCAGAACTGCAAACACTTCCATATTTTCTGCTCCTTTTCCACAAAGTGAAGGCTCCTTATATGCACACAGAAAAGCTCATGGAATCATTGCAACGCCAACTGTCCCCTACAACAGCAAAGAGTGCTTTGTCATTAGTGACAAGCCGGTAACATTCCACGCCTCTGAAACAATCACATTTTTGTCTGCCCCCTCCCCCCCCAACACGTAATTTGAGAACATCGTCAAAAGGTGAGGCCGGCTGGAAGAACGATCACAGAAGCTTTCCATTTGGTAAGCAGGAAAATCGAGAGCAGCCTAATTTATCTGCAGATTAGGAAGCAGTGCCACGTAGCCACACCAGGAAACAAGATCACGGTCCTACAAGATCAGGTTTTTTTTTACCACCTCATGAGAAGGAGGTACAGCAGTTCCATGGATAGTTTGCCCACTAGACAGTGGACTTCATAGGCCCTCTCTCTGACAGAGTTGTCCACTGTTGCTGCTTTCCCTGACAGAACAGTGAATAGGCCAGGATAGCACAGCACACACGGGGTCTCTATGCTGAGGAACATCTTTGAGTCCACGCTCCATGGAAATTATTCTAGCTACAGGGCACGTATGGCGCAACTCTGTGTTCTCAAAGAAGTCATTAGGTTAGCTTTCGAAAAGCAACAGAGCACCTTCCCTCCCTCACATATCCCCAAGGTTTTAGGGCCTCTGCTCTGCAAACACTTAAGTATCCTAGCGTATGTCTAGATTACGTACGAGGTTTACAGGAACAGTCGACAAAGGCGTTCCCTGTCGACCGATCCGCGTCTTGACTCACGCGCTGTGCCGACGATCAGCTGAGCTGGCACAGCACGGCGGCCATTTTTATTTTAATGAAACCAGGGATATTTAAATCCCGGCTTCGTTGACTCTGTCGGGTAGTCTAATTTACATACATCTGGCAACAGAGGCATGTAGTCTAGACATACCCCTACCGACTATGCCTGCAAGTCTTTGAAGGCGTTACGAGTATGATTTTTAACATTCCTATATTAGGGTAACCATGTTAACCTCCGAAAATCTCAGCGGTTACACACTTGCCTGCACTGCGGGCTCAGCAGTAGAAAGCAAGGCCCACAGCAAAGTGGTCTCCCCAAGCTGGCAAGGGAAACAACATTTATTGATCAATTTAGATGCCTCTCCTGACATTGCACTACATCTAGGTGCTAAGGTTAGACTGCATGAGCCATGCCCATAATACAGGCAGTCCCCGGGTTACATGGATCCGACTTACATCGGATCCCTACTTACAAACAGGGTGAGGCAACCCCGCACTAGCTGTGCCTCCTCCCCCCCAGCAGACCAGGGAGATGCGGAGCGGCTTTTCTCAGCAGATCCCTCAGTCCTTTATTCTCAAGCTGAGGTAAGTGAGGTGTGGGAGAATAAAACTGAGCTCTGGAGAAATGTTTGGCTAGAGTTTCCCCTACAATATGTACCAGTTCCGACTTACATACAAATTCAACTTAAGAACAAACCTACAGTCCCTATCTTGTACATAACCTGGGGACTGCCTGTACACACAAATAAAGTTGCAGGCTGAAAATCTGCTTTTCGCCAGCCCTGTGCAGCAAACCCACTTTGAAATAATGGGTCAATTAAAGAAAGATACAAGGCACATTCAGGTAGTTGTGTGTGGGGGGGGGACTTGCAAAGTGTACTATAGCAAATAAACCAACACGGGAATTTCATTTGTTAATGGGGAGAAGTTGATTTACAGCTGGTGTATTGTAATTATGGAGCCTGTGAAGAAAATCCAGTAGGGCTACACACAGGTTGATCACTGTGAGCAACTAACACCAGGGACAATGCCTGTAACTTGCTGGGGAAGGGGGAGCTACCAGAGACACGCCTGTGGTTAGTTATTGCCCTTTCTGGAGCAGTCTCCCTTCCACACACCCTATAAAAAAAAAAAGACAGGAGTTTCTAAGTATTTCAGTGCTGCAGTACCCAAACATCACGGAAATCTTGGTCCTCAACACCCTTAGAAGAGGGAAATGCTATTCCCCTTTTGCTGGCTGGGAATGCCTTGCGCAAGGCCAGGCCTGGAGTCTGCAGCAGAGCCAGGAATAAAATCCCAATCTCTCAAATGTGTCAGCCACAAGACTTTGCTTCTTCCCTGGGCATGTGTCATATGGTCTAAAGCAGTCACACCGGGAACAGATTACCTAATAAAAAAAGATCAGAGATTAGGCAGTCAGCCTTTAATGAGATCATAAACCATACCGCTATTATAAGCTAACGTTTTGCACCAGGCTCAGTCAAATCCAATGCTAAAGAGGAAAAAAAGGAGGGGTTTAATGATATAGTTTAAAGCATGTCAGAATTTCCCCTACTTGCTGCAAGAGCATCTAGAATTCAGCTAGCCCTTTGCTGGTTATAAAAGCACAGCTATTTTGACTTTATGCAAGATGCGCTGGACACGGGAGGGTGCTAATTCTCTATCAAGTGGAAAGCCTGAATGAACGCCGAGAGGAGAGAAAGTTTGGCATAGGGATGCAAAATCCAGTTTAACTGGGGCTGGAGCAGCCCATGCCGCCAGGAGGTTTTCCAGCCCCCACCAGTTAACCTTAAATGAAAAGGCTCACTGGTTAGAAATGAGGCTTCACATCCCCAGTTTTGGCTGAAGTCCAATCCTCCCCCCCTCCCAAAAAAAACCAAGCCACCCCACCCCACATAAATTACCACCTTTGACTCAGCCCCAAGATCACAACCTGAAGCACAGCAAGCGTAACACAAGGCTGCATCCACTGCTCTAAGTGAAGAACGCAGTGCATTTTTAAAGAAAAAAATAACCCAAAAAAAAAATCAAAAGACGACCTAAAGATATAACAGGGAAAGTAAGCTAACCAGTGTCTTACTAGGTGGCAAAAAACAACCACAACACACCACACTCCAACAACAACAACTCTGAGGCTACATGCCGTCATTAACGTGACACTAGGAATAGCCACCTACCACTATTTCTGAATCATTTTAGGTGGTTTTAAAAGCTTATGGTCCTGACAAGTCACATGAAGGGCCAGCTACATACGGGACAATAGCAGGCAGTCAAGATAGGATGCGAGACTCCTGGGTTATTTTTGCAAGCTCACTCTGTGACCTTGGGAAAGACAATTTCCCCTTCCCTGTGCCTCAGTTTTCAAATACCCATCTTAAAATGTTTTGCTGCCTCATCTGCTTTGAGAACTATCCAAATACAAGTAAAGTGACTGTTCCAAGATGCAAGAGAAACTTCACAGAATCTAGTGTCGTATTTATAGAAATTCTTAATAAATTTCATTGATTTTAAAAAAAAGAAAACCCTCCTCTGACGTTTATGCACCCTGAACATTGTTTAGTTGGACTCCCACTAGCTATGCAATAAGGGCAGGAACAAAAAGCGACAATGCACCATTTCTTCAGCATCCAAACAAGTTCAAAAGGAAAGGCAGAAGCCAAGCGGATTCAACTCTGGAGGCCCTGCATCCTGAAAACACACATGCTTTGCTTGACTA